TCTCTCTCTCTCTCTTTCTTTCTTTCTTTCTTTCTTTTTTAAGATTTTACTTATTTATTTGAGAGAAAGAGAGCACAAACAAGGGGAGGAGCAGAGGGAGAGGGAGAAGCAAACTCCCTGCTGAGCGCAGAGCCCAACATGGGGCTCGATTCCAGGACCCTGGGATCACGAGCCGAGCCGAAATCAAGAGTTGAACATTTAACCGACTGAGCCACCCAGGCACCCCTCATGAGGTGTTTCTTTAAGGACAGCTGCAGAGTGTCTACTGTATATTTATCTCTTTTTAGGGCTCACCTGTTTGGGTCAGACCTACTTAGGAGAATCCACCTTTTGATTAACTCAAATTCAACTGATTAGGGACCTTGAATATATAGGCACAATCCCTTGGCCATATATAAAGTTGACATACAAAGTATCACAGGAGTGTTATCTAGTCATACTCATTCGCTCTGCCCACACCAGAGGGGAGGTGGTTATATATGACATGTACACTAGGGGGCAGGAGGCATGGGGGACACCTTCAAATTCTGCCCGCCACAGTGTATGATACTGCTAGGACTCATACCATTTGAATATGTATTTTTCATACTATGTCCTTATTTAATAATTTCACAGAGCTTATGAAGTTGTTCCTTGGGACAAGATGCTACCACCAAAACCGGATCCAGAAGAAACAACAGTGGAAAAAGCTGCTGACCTGATTTCACAGTGTTTTACACTGAAAAGATATGAAGGGGCCCCATCAATAACCCAGGTCAGTGATTAGGGACCTCAATTACATGTGCATAATGCCTTTTCCCATATATAACATTGCATTTTTGCAACAGTGCATTTATTTCTAAACTGAAGCCCAAAACTTGAATACTCATTTTATTGTAAGAAACATGGAAAGAACATGTAAATATAGTTATTTATGGACTTGAAAGTGCCATAATCAAAAAAGTCATCAATGGCCTCAAATACTTCGATGTTACCTGTATTGCACTTTTTAAAATTTTATTTAAAGACTACCTCTGTCTCAAAAGTCCTTTGCAATGACTGTGTTTATTTTAAAACTGCACAAGGAGGACTGAGGGATGGAGAAATAATTATGATTCCATCAGAGAACCTGTGTTGAGAACAGTTCTTGAAATTGAACCTAACCTCTGCACTCTGAGACAGAATGGGAAAACCCATGAATCAGTCATAGAGCTCTTATTTCTAGCAAAACAAAGCATAGTTGGTTGTCTCCAGAGATGTATGTTTTCATATTTTATTTTATTTTATTAAGAGAGAGAGGGCGGGGAGGGGCAGAGGGAGAGAGAGAATCTTAAGCCAGTCTATGCTCAGCACAGAGCCTGACATGGGGCTCGATCTCACGACCCTGAGATAATGACCAGAGCCAAAATCAAGAGCTGGACACTTAACCGACTGAGCCTCCCAGGCGCCCCTCTGTGTTCATTTCCAAACATCAAGAATTCAGCACGTGATTTACTGTATCCACACCACAGCCAGGGTACTTTTCCTAAAGTGTGAGTTGCTTCATACCACTCTTCTGATTAAAACCCATCATTTTTGAGAAAGTGAAATCCATGCTCTTTGGCAGGACATGTCCCCAGTCCTGTTCTTTGCCCACGACCCCTCCTCAGTGTGACCCTTACCTTCCTGTTCCTCTTGCTTCTCAAGCCCTATCCTCCGAACAAACAGTATTCCACGCCCTTCAGCGTTCCACGTTTTCCAAGCTAAGTCCCATGAGTCCTTTGGGTCTTATGTCGGACCTCACCTTTGCCCTCCCAACCCTGGCTCTGTGCTTGCAAAGCGCCTCCTACTTACATTGAATCTCTCATCCTTTTGCTGTGTTCCTCATCCCTTGGAAGTCTGACGAGCCCTGGGACCACCTCTCCTAACAAAGCTCTTTCCTATGTAAAACACACAGCACTAAAGAGGAAAATAATTATATATAAATATGCTGCTAAACACGGACTTCTAAGAGGTTCAGAACCACAGGGTAAGAAGCCCACATTATTTTGAAAATTTCTGTTAGCTTTTACAGAGCAAAATGGCAGCAAGAGAGAAACAACGTGGCTATAATATAAAGTCTTGGCACGGGATTTGCCCATAGAAACTAAACTAAGTCGGAGGACAGAAAATGTGCCTGGATTCTTACACCTGCTCAACTACTTAAAAATATTTTTATATCTTTTGAAAATTGGTCATTTTTAAACATATTCTTTGGCATCTAATTATGCCAGAACCCAAAGTCCTTCCCGGCAACATGAGGTTCAAAGCTCAGGGTCTGGATGGGGCTGGAAAGGGGAGACCAGCCTGGGGCTGCAGAGGGTGGACAAAAACAGAGCCAAGTGACCACAGGTTCTGAGATGAAAACCAAAATCAGACCTTTCACAGGGCTTCAGTCCAAAAGAGGTAGATGATGAGGCAGATTCCAGCTGTGTGAAAACTAATGGAAACTAAGGGTCTGAGGGAGGGCAGAGCAGAGACCAGGAGGGGCTCTGGGGCAAAGCCCTCAGTTGCTAAGCAGGTTTGGGGAGTGCTTTCCATTGGGAGCCTGGGGCTTGCCTATGATGTGTTGGGGACAGTTAAGAGCGCAGGAGCTTATAGACAAGACATGGTGTGACTTGTTCATTAAATATGTCATTCATTTTGTTGCTGATTTTAGATGGTTGGTGGACTCTGGGACAGATTTCAAACAAGATCTTTCTTGACACCGGTCAAGCCAGTTACTTTGTAAGTTTTATCCCCGTGTTCTCATCAGTAAATTTTTCACTATCACAGATCTCTCACTGATATGTCTGGTGCTCCCGTCCATGGCTTATAGAGGGGGTGAGGGGCATATCCTCTGGAGAACATTCTAGAGACTTCAGACTTCCATCCCTGTGATGGGAAAGAGAACCCAAGTCCCGTTCACTTGCTCAGTGTTGCCTGCTTTCTCATGTTTTCTCTTAACCCTCCTTACAATTTAGACTATGAATGGGGCATCTGGGTGGCTCAGTCAGTTAAGCATCCGACTGTTGATTTTGGCTCAGGTCTTGATCTCTGGGTCCTGATATTGAACCCTGCATCAGGTTCCTGCTGAGCATGGAGCCTGCTTGAGATTCTCTCTCTCCCTCTGCCCTCCCCCCACATTCTCTCTCAAAAAAAAAAAAACCCACAAAAATGTAAAACCATTTAAAAATAAGGAGTGCTTTATGAATAAGTTGATATGAAGAATTATAATGTTGTGGAATCCATGGACTTCAAGGGATTGTAACATTTCTATCAACTTTTGCATCAAGCAGTTATTTTGTGTTTTATTTTATGCTAGAAACTATGGTTTTATTATTAATCGTTCCATGTAAGTGATTTTGTGCATTTATTCTAAAAAAGCCTGATGTTTCTGTCTTTGAAAATGTCACTATTTCTTCCTATTTTTTGTTCTTACTACAACCCACAATCCAGGTTATCATCTGTTTTTATTTTTTAAATTTATTTTTGAATAAATAATTGAAATTTAATATAAACAAAACATACAAATAAGAATATGATGCAATTTGTGTAGTATTTCCCAGTTTTAGAAATAGAGCATTACCAACACGATGGAGAGTTTCTCTGTTCTTCCTTAGGGATCACTATTATTCTGGATTTGATGTTTCATATTTCATACATTCCTATAATCCTTTAAAACACATGTATTCTTTTTAACCAAGATATGGCATTGTGTTCCATGGTTCTAAACTCAATATAAGTGGCATTATATATATATATACAACTTGAACATTTTTGTTCCATGTTGTGTTTGTGAGATTTATACAAGTTGGCATTTAGATCTCTAGGAGCTCACTTTTCTTGCTGGATAGTCTTGCATTGTATGGATACACCACAGTTTATTTATCCATTCTTATAATTTAATTATTTTTATGATTTTATTGCAGTTGGAAACAATGTCCCTATTTCTTTGTGTACTCAAGTGCAAAAATATTTCTAGATTTTATATACATATTAATCTCTACAATTGCTGCATCAAGAGGGTACACTTCCTTATAATCTAGATATCGGCACATTCTTCTCCAGATGGGTTGTATCCATGGGCTAAACCATTGGCAATGCTTGAGTTCCCATTACTGCACATCATGGCCAGCATTTGGAATTTCAAATTTAAAAAAATTCTTATCTTATGAGTATGAAATTGTATTTCATTATCATTTTCACTTACATTTACCTGATAGCCAATAATCATTTTTTTGTAGGTTACAACTCACTTTGTTGTTCGCATCTGTAACTTACCTGTTCATATATTTTGCCCCATTTGCAGTTGGGTTCCTTGTCTTTTATGTATTAATTGTACAAATGTTTATGTTTACTATTCTGGAAAAAAATTTTTTATTGGTAATATGCATCAAAGTATCTCCTTTTAGTCTGTGACTTTTCTGTTTTATACTGCTCTTTGCTGAACTGAAGTTTTGAGTTGTTTTTTTTTTAAAGATTTATTTATTTATTTGAGAGAGCGAGAATGAGAGAGAGAGAGTACATGAGAGGGGGGAGGGTTAGAGGGAGAAGCAGGCTCCTCGCTGAGCAGGGAGCCTGATGCGGGATTCAATCCAGGGACTCCAGGATCATGACCTGAGCCAAAGGGGCAGCCGCTTAACCAACTGAGCCACCAGGCTCCCTGAAGTTTTGAATTTTAATATAACTGAATTCATCAATATTTTCTTCCATGTCTTATTATTTTTATGGACTTTTTAATAGATCTTTCCCTACCCAGAAGTAATATATTATTCTTCTTAACTTTTTTCTAAAAAACACTTTGCTTTTCACATTTATTTCTTTAAACCACTTGAAATCAACTCAGGTTTGGGGTGTGAATGAGGGATCCATTTCTCCACATGACTGAACAATTACCCTACTGCAGGTTAATGAGTAGACTCTAGTAAGTAGTTTAATGAGTGAAGTGTAGCCTGTTGGTTGCAACCCATTGGTGGTGCGTCACAACCACCATTTTGTAAAATTAAATAGAATAGAAAATATAAGAATGAATCATATGGAACTCTAGACAGATCTGTGTATTTTGCAAAAAATACTGCAGATGTTTATAAAGAATCATGTAAGACAGAGATGATGCATAAGAAAAGCACATGTCCACATTGAGATTATTCTATCTTTTCTTTCCTAGAGATTCGATCATCACCTCAATGGGAAGGTTAATCTTGTACATTTAATTTTATATTTACCTAATCCACAATTAATTGCTAAGTCCAGGAGATTTGCAACTGTAGTCAGCAAAATTAATGAGAGTTCCTGATAAATTTCAGTTATGGAAAAATAATGTCAAAGATAACATTTTTCAAATGTTTGTACTACGTCAATAAAACCAGCATATATTGCCCTTTAGAAATGAATTTTTATATCAGTAAAAGAAAAAAGAATATTGAAGTGAAAATAAGCAAAATCATAATCACGTTTAACTGTTGTGTCTAGTATTGCAAATGGTGAAAATATTGAGAAGAATGTTGTCTTGTCAGCAAATGTAGATTTTTCTCAAGCCATATTCTAAAAATAATGTGTAAACTTTTTTTTATTAATAATGTGTAAACTTTTTGATAAAGATTATTTAAAATGTTTTGCCAAATGTGGAAAACATCCCAATATAAAAAATAGATTCCAAGGTATAAGTTGAAAGGTAATAATTTTTTAAAGGTTAAGACACTCACAAAATATAAGACTCATAAACACAGCAAGCTGAGACTGTTGGTGGTCACAATCAAATATCTTTTAAAAGAACAAAGATGCACTGGGTGTTATACACAAACAATGAATAATGGAACACTACATCAAGAAAAAATAAATAAGTAAATAAATTTTTTTAAAAAGGACATTTATCTATCTAAAAAATAAATAAATAAAAGAACCAAGATGCAAATCATCGGTGCCAACCCTTACATTATGCAAGTACTAATAAGAACACTTTATTAGCATCTTTTTATTTATATATTGTGTGGTGAAATAGCAAATAGTTCACCCAGATGAAAAATTTGTATTCCCATTTATATGAAACCATTGCCTTTTTAATTTTTTTTAATTTTTAATTTTAATTTGTTTTTTAGAGAGAGAAGGGGGAGGGGCAGAGGGAAATGGAGAGAGAGAATCTCAAGCAGGCTCCATGCCCAGCACAGAGCATGATGTGGGGCTCGATCTCACGAGCCTGAGATCATGACTTGACTTGAGCTGAAATCAAGAGTCAGATGCTTAACCAACTGAGATACCCAGGTGCCCCCCATTGCACTTTTTAAATAGGAAATCATTTGATCAGTGAAAAGCTATATGTCTTAGTCAGTATTGCCATGTCTCCAAGCTTTTGAGAGTGCCGCTCACACTGACCCTTCCTCTATGCAAATGTTGCTCCCAGGAGCCCACACTAAAACCTATAATTGAATGTCTATGTGGCTCAACTCATAATGCCCAAACCTAGAAACCACCAAGAGACCTTTCAACAGGCCAGTGGGAAAGTACATACCGGATAAACATACTAGAGTATATCCATGCAATGACATACTACTCAGCAATGAAAAAACCAAATGCAACACACAACAGTGTGTGTGAATCTTAACTGCATTTTACTCAGTGAAAGCAGCCAGACCCAAAGGGTCACATATTGTATGACTCCATTTATATGACATTTAGAAAAAGCAAAACTACCGGGATGGGAATAGAACAATGGCAGCCAGGAGTTGGGAAGGGGGAAAGGGATGAATACAGAGAGCCTATAAAGGGAACATTTAGGGTAGTGAACTGCTCTATATGGTTACTTGACTCTGTATTTGTGAAACCAATAGAACTATTCACTAAAAAGAACAAACTTTACTGGGCGCCTGGGTGGCTCAGTCGGTTAAGCATCTGCCTTCAGCTCAGGTCATGATCTCGGGGTCCTGGGATCGAGTCCCGCATCAGGCTCCCTGCTCAGTGGAGAGTCTACTTCTCCCTCTCCCCTTGTTCCTCCCCCCGCTCATGCTCTTTCTCTTTCTCTCTGTCAAATAAATAAATGCAATCTTGAAATAAAAAAAGAACAAATTTTACTGAATGCAAAGTGAAATAAATACATGCATATATACACCCATACCTGCCAGATGTTGGGGGAATCCAGGATGGAATGCAGATGGTGACAAAAGAATCTATGTTTCAAATCAGTGACGTAACTACTCTTTAGTGGATGGTCCTAAATAAGTTTGGAAACAGTATTTTGACTGAATAATGTAAGGCTAAAGATGAAAAGAATTGTATATAAGCACTGTGCTCAAGATGGTGCATGTGTCTCCCCAGGGAAATGGGTTGGTGATTCTAACACTGCTTACATGTATGGGTTTGAACAAAACGAAATGTTTGGTCGATAACAGGAAGCAGGTTTCACACTGTCAGGAGGAAATACGAATAAGTAAGGAAGAAAGACTATGCATGAACCCTGTGGCACTGGATTTGATTAGGGGGGATCCTATGAACTCAGGTTTACTGTAATTTATATACAGATAGTAGATACAGAAATACACATACACATGTGGGTTTATACAGGTTCTTACACTCATGTCTGTCCCTAGCTCTGTCCACTCAGAGGACCCAGGAGCAGGGACACCTACCCCAGCAGCCATGAGCATAACTAACACCCAGATGTTGGATTTTATTTTTTATTTTTTTAAAGATTTTATTTATTTATGGGAGACAGAGGAGATGGGCAGAGGGAGAAGCAGGCTCCCCCTGAG